TCAAGTCAGGGTAGCACTGTCACCCATTCATGCAAGCTCCTGACCTCCTGCACTCTCTCTCTGGCCCCACTTTCTATTTAGGGGGCATAGGAGGATGGTCCACACCCAGTGGTGCTCAGGAATCACTTCTGGCAGGCTCAGGGGACCATACGGGGTTGCCAGGGATCGAACATTTCAGCTTAGCTGCATGCAAAGCAAGTACCCTACCTGTCGTACTACTACTGCTCCATTTCCTCCTCTTTCATTTTTTAACAAAGAAATTATGTGACAAGATAGTTCATTTGTGCTGAGCTGAAATGACTGTTTCACCTGAAGATGTTGACATGTTTTTAAGACTTTTTTTTATTTGTGGGGCTAGAGGGATAGCACAGCCAGTAAGGCACTTATCTTGCACATGGCTGGCTGCAGTTCCATTCCTAGACCATCATGTATGGTCCCCCCAAGCCCTACCAGGAGTGATCTCTGAGCTTGAATCTAGGAGCAAACCCTGAACACCGCCAGGTGTGACCCAAAACCAAAACCAAAAAAACCTCCTAAAAGAAACAGAACCCCCCCAAACCACAAAAAAACAAGTTTGGGGGGAGGTTTCTCCCACAGTGCTTGGAGGCCACTCCTACCAATATTTGGTCTGGCTCTGCAGTGCTGGGACTCTAAGGAGGAGGCTTGGGCATGGACAGCTCGCACTCCAGTCATCTGCTCTATCACCCCTGCCCCAGAGTGTAACCTTATAACATTGCTACAATATGATTATGTAATAGACACATGCTTTACCACCTAGTTGGATAATAAAACAATCTACTTGCTTTAAAGACACAATATAAGCACTGTTAAGTTAAACAGTCATAATAGTGATATGTGTGTCACGTACAATGCCTTTGAGTTATTTCTGTATTTCTGATTTGTGATACAATGAGCAGAGCAACAGCGCAAAGCAGAGAGGGTACCATGTATGGTCTCTGTCACAGCCACTCCCGTCTGCTACTGCAGTGGGAAGCAGCCACTGACGACAGACAGTGAACAGCATGCCTTCTTCCAATAAAACTTAATTGACAGTTTCTGAAATTGGAATTTCACATAATTACATGTCACAGAATACTGTTCTTTTGATTTTGCCCACTCCCCCAACTATTTAAGAATAAACACACCATTCTTTGGAGGTTGGATTTGGCCTGGGGGAGCAGTTACCGGCTCCTAGACATAGCCCAATAATTTTGTTTCTATTATCACTACTAATTACTAAAGGGTTTGCTAATTTCTCAAAACGATAGCTTCTTCCTTCTCCCTGCAAATTTTGAAGGCGTGGCTTTCTATAATAAGGTAACCTAGAGGATGGAGAGATAGTATAGCCGGTAGGGTGCTGCCTCGCTGGATTCAATCCCCAGCACCCCATATGGACCTCTAACCTCTGCCAGGAGTGGTCCCAGTGTGAAGAACCAGGAGTAATCCCTGAGCACTGCTGGGTGTGACCGCTAAACCAAAATTAAAAACTGAGGTAATTTACTAAAATTCAGGTATGGAATTTGTCCTTTTGTTGAACTCTGCATGTAATGACCCACTTTATTAAAAAAAATGTTGTAGGGTCAGAGAGACAGTACAGCAGGTAAGCCGTTTGTTTTGCATGTGGCTGACCTAGGTTTGATTCCTGGCACCTCATATGGTGCCCTGAGCACCATCAGGAGTGATCCCTGAGCACAGAGCCAGGAGTAAACCCTGAGCACTTTAGGGTGTGGCTACAAATTAAAAACAAAACCCCAAAAATGTGTGTGTATGGTGGTATCAGGATAACAGCTGACCTCATGTACGTGAGGTCTGCACTTTATTGTTACATCCCCGGCCCCCAAACTGAGCTATTTTATTCAGTGCCAAGAATCAACTCAGGAGCATACAGCCGAAGAGAAGGGCCACATGGAGGGCAGGATCCACAGCTCCCGGAGGAAAAAAAAAACAGGTTCCAAAAAGAGCCGAGATCATCGGGAAGTCCCAGATGGGGTAGGTACTGCATCCCGCCTCCCCCAGATGGAACCCCGGTGACCAGAAGCCTCTACAAGCACAGCTCGAGTATGCGGGAACTAGGACTTTTCCTCAAAACCGCGGCCGCGTGACATCTCTCTATATACAAAGTGATCAATGGGAAGTAAACCACCTAACGTTTCTCCCTGAAAATCAGAGTTAAGTTGGGAGCACGGCCACAGCCCCAGAAACACAAGGACTTAATGCAGAACCCAGCAGCTTGGAGCAGAAAAGTGAACGGACTATGCGTTAATCCAGACCATCATGTCTGCCCGGAGGGGAAAGGGTGTTGCCCCATTCTCCCTCTCTTCTCTGGAAAGAAGGATGGCGGCCACATGGGAGCCTTGTGGACAGCAGGTATGAGCCGGGGGTGTGGGGGCGACTAAAACCTCATGGGAAGGGGAGCATTCCGGTCCATCCTTCATGCCCTACCGAGGTCACCAGTTGCCCCCCGCGAGCGGCTCTCCAGCACAGCCACGGCCCCAGAAGCACAAGGACTTAATGCAGAACCCGGCAGCTTGGAGCAGAAAAGTGAACGGGACTGTGCGTTAATCCAGGCCATCATGTCTGTCCGGAGGGGAAAGGGTGTTGCCCCATTCGCCCTCTCCTCTCTGGAAAGAAAGATGGCGGCCACATGGGAGCCTTGTGGACAGCAGGTATGAGCCGGGGGTGCGGGGGCGACTAAAACCTCATGGGAAGGAGGGTGTTTCGGTCCGCCTTTCACGCCCTACCGAGGCCACCAGTTGCCCCCCACGAGCGGCTCTCCAGCATGGCCACGACTCCAGAGCACAGAAACCAATTTCTTAACTATCTGACTTTCAGTAGAAATACTTCCAGGGTCAATAAGTAAAATAGCAGAAATCCAAAACCAACATTTAATTCTTGAACCCAGCTGTAGAAAGCAAATCACTTCACAATGCTTTTTCAGCATGTCTGATTTGGGGGTGGGGGGTAAACTCTAAATAATAGTGGTGAATCTTTTATTGAAACAATGAATCTAATCAAAGCAGATAGAGTGTTAACTAGAATTCATCTGCCTCACAGGGACTGGGAGGGGTGGGGGGTGGGGTTTTTATTGGGGTTCTTCATGGCAAAAAATAAGTATTGGTAAAGGGAAATGTGTTTGATATTTGCATGACTGAGACCTAAACCTGAAAGCTTTGTAACCTTTCCCACAGTGATTCAATAAATAAATTAAAAAAAAAAAAAGAATCAACTCAGGGCCTCGTGCACACAATACTCAGCCAAAACACTCTATGACGGAGTTTAGTTTCCTGGCCTCTATTTTAAAATCCAAGTGGTTTAATGTTTGTATAAATGAACATTCCTTTGGGTAGTTTGGACTAATAGTCTCGCGTGTGGGTTTTTTGTTTGTTTTTGTTTTTTGCTTCTGCCTTTTCTCTGTATGTAAGTCTGGTTTGGGGCAAGGGCAGCCAGTGCTGTGGGTCCTCCCTAAATTCTTTCCCAAGTTGTGTCCTGAGCACTCTCCCCTCAGCTACTGAACGAGCAGCTGTGGTCTGGCCTTGACTCCCAGGCACTTTCTCCCACTCCTCACTGCCTGTTTCCTTTCCGAGAACCACACCTAGCAGTACTTGGGGTGGGGGGGCGGGCTATGTGGTGCTGGGGATCCAACCAGTTCCTTTACTCCAGCCCTTTGCATTTCATCCAGGCCCTATAATACCTGGCTTTGGAGTCAGTAATAAAGCATCTTTAGGGCCCGGAATCTGAGAAGGGCGCCAAGCCAGGATTTCAAAGCCTGTTTGTAACTATCCGTCTATTTGGTGGGGGTGAGGCAGAACAGACCCTAAGAGGAGATTTTGATTTCTTAGTCAATAGTACAGGAATGTTAGCGCCTGACTGAAACTTGACCTGGCCTTTCTCCCACCAGGTGGCAGGGAGTGTCAGCACAGTGAAGACCCCTCCTTGGGGCACTAGAGAAGTGCAGTGGTATAGGTGAGGGTAAGGGCTTCTCACTCAGGTTGAATGGAACAAAGGAGAGTTCATCCATGAGGGTTCTGCCTTCCTGGTGTCACCCACATGGAGGGTTGCCTGGCTGTGTCAAGGGATCATATGTGGCGCCAAGGATCAAAGCGGGTGGGTGGAGCACAAAGCAAGCACTTTACCTGCTGTACTATCTCTTTGATCATAGAAACTTGAGGTGTGTGTGTTTTGGGGTCAGACCTGGCTGTGTTAAGGACTTACTCCTGGTTCTGTGCTCAGGGATCACTCCTAGCAGAGATATGGGTTGCTGGGGATTGAACTATAGTTGGTCTCATTCAGGGCATGTGCCTTAACCTCTCTACCATCTGTCTGCTTCTGGGAATATTTTACCAAATATAACCTGTGAGTCAAATCTAGAGTTTTCCTTTTTTAGGGTCAACACCCCTCAGTGCTAGGGGACGGTGTGGTGCCTGGGATTGAATCCAGGCCTCCTGTGTATGCACTCCAGCCTGTTAATGTTCTATATTTGGTGGGGGAGAAAGCTTAAGTCACATTTTGAGTCCATTCTAGTCTAGGTTTTTCTAATGCTTTTTTATGCTTAAATTTTACAGGTTGATATAAATATATATTTTTAAATTGTGCCAGGGAGTCATACCTGGTGGTGCTGGGAGCAGGTAGGTGATGCCCGAGATTGAACCTGGGGCCTTGCACATGCGAGACATGTGATCTACCATGACACCACATTGCCAGTCTCATACACTCATATACAAACTAGTCTTCATTTAATTTTAAACTTCTCCCCACACTTTGCTTCTCCTTTAGTAGTTCAAGATCATAGCTGTGACCCTCCATGTTTTACTCCCTTAGTGTTCTGACAGCAGGGACAGAGGACAGATAGCTTCACATCCTGTCTGTCTGGTGCCTGATGTGCAGTTGTCTTAGAATCTGATTCACTGCAGATAAACCCCCACCTATTTCATATTATTGCTAACGTAACTGGGCATGCAAATAAGATTCTTTTTATTACATTGTAGATGATACAGAGTTCGTTAATTTTCATTGTTCTTTTTCAAGGAATACATCAACAGCAAGCTGGATTCACGGACTTTTGACACCGCGTACACTATGCTCACATTATCACAGATGGCTCTGGAGATATAGCTGCCAACAGGAAAAAAGAAACCAATATCATCAGTGGACAAAAGGGAGAAGTAGACTTACCCATTGATGATGCTAAAATAGAACTGACAAAGATACATTCTATTCATTCATGTCAATTGATCCTTTAGTTATAGAAGTTTAGATAATGCAGATCTGGCAAAACCACACTGATGATCACTTGCAAGGGTGGATGCTGCCAGAATTAGCTATCACTCTAACTTGGTATATTATTGTATTTAATGAGAAGATTTCTATTAAAAATAGAATTCTAGTCCCTTTGATTTTGCTTGCTACACTCCAGGTGAATACCCTGAAAGAAGATTGACCTTTTTTCCAAAGGATGATGGAGGTGGTTGGCGTAACCCATCCCGCTGTTCTCATCCTATGTTACTGTCAGTTTTTCTAACTCCTCTCCACCAAGAGCTCAAATACTGGGGAAGGGTCCTACTGACAACCTTTGCCTTGCACTAACCCTAGAAAAGGTGACTGGCAAGTCTCCCCACCTCCCAGTCTCGCCATCAGGTTTGTAGGCTGGAATGGAGCTTTTTGACCATCTCTATTTACACTAAGCTAAGTAGAGGTGATATTCCTTTCTCCTTTCAAGCTCTTTGGAGACTAGTGGAAAGCTCCTCAAACCTAGTAAACCTACAGAGCTCATCAGATCTAAACAGCTTAAGCTCAGAGAAATATGTACCAGACATGGGGACTGGAGAGCTCCCAGACCAACAGGATGCAGTGCACACTTTGCATGCAGGAGGCCCAGGTTCATTCCTGGCACCACATAGTTCCCTGCCCTTCAGCACTACCAGGAAAAACCTTTGAGCACAGAACTGAGACTCGCCCCCAACTACTGCCAGGGAACACCTAAAAGCAAAAAAAAAAATTTATACTAGACTTATGAAATTTCTGAGAACAAATGACAAAGAAAAGATTTGTAAATAAGCCAGAGGAAAAGGACACATTATTTTAAGAGGAAGAGCCATTTGAATGGCAGCATAGTTTCCTTCTAGTAATATAGAATTCAGAAAGAAGTGACAAGTTATTTTCCAAAATGCTAAAAAACTAGAACTTAAAATAACAAAAAGACACAGTAGATAAAGACCTAAACCCAAATGGATGCTATTACAGAAACTCACTTCAAATAGAATGTAACTATGCTGGAAATAGAAGCTTGGAAAACAACGTACAAATATTAATGAAAAGAAAGCACAAATAGTTAATAGGTGAGGTATACTTTTTTTTTCTTTTTGGGTCACACCCAGTGATGCACAGGGGTTACTCCTGATTCATGCCCTCAGGAGTTACTTCTGGCGGTGCTTGGGGACCATATGGAATGCTGGGATGGAACCCAGGTCAGTCACGTGCAAGGCAAACACCCTATCCACTGTACTATATCCCTCCAGCCCCAGGTGAGGTATACTTAAGAGCAAAAATAAAGACCAGAAATAAGATGTGGGGCCAGAGTGATGGGGAGGGGGTTTTTCTTGCATGCGGCTGACCTGGGTTTCATCCCAGCATCCCATATGGTCCCCAGAGCACTGCCAGAAGTAATTCCTGAGTGCAGAGCCAGGAGTAACCCCTGAGCATCGCCTGGTGTGACCCAAAAAGCCAACAACAACAACAACAACAACAAAAAGCAAAAACAAAAACACGGAAACAAGACATGACATTACATAATAAAAGGGTCAGTTAATCAAGAATGCAGAATTGCAGAGTGCAAGAAAAATGAATAGAATTCAAAGTTAAATAAAAAAAACATTTATAGTTAGAACATTCAAATTTCTCAAAATTGACAGAATTTCTAGATTGAAAATTAGATGGAAGCAGAGGAGCTGAGGGCAAGCAACTGTGGTGCCATTTGTAGGCTATCCCACTCCATTGGACAGGATCCATGTTCTTTTCAGGCACACTTGGAGCATTTGTTAAAAAAAAAGATCCTGGGACATAAAAAATAGCAGATGTTGGTACTGGAAAGATAGTATAGTAGGTAGGCACTTGTCTTGAATGTGGTCAGCTTGGTTTCAATCCCTGGCACCACATAGGATTCCCTGAGCCCTGGCAGGAGGGATCCTTGAGCCTCGCCGGGTAGGGCCTAAAAGAAATCCCTCCCAAAAGAAATTAATGAAAGAGATACTCAACAATAAATCTCTCAGAAGAGAGCACAGAATGATATGCCATAGACATGCCTTCAGACCCTGTGCCAGGCTGTTTCATTTGGGGCAACCTGGAGGGGTAGGTAACATTCCCCTCCTGTCTAAACAGAGCTAGCACTGGTGCCCAAAACCTCCAGAACTCAACCGCCGCCATGCTCATAGCCGCTCTCCACATACTTGGATGAGCGTCATCCATGAGTGAATCTATTCCTGGACTGTGTGGCCACATTTGCAGCCACAGAACATCTCATACCGAGAGTAGCACACCATTTGATGGGGTTTAAAGTAGAAGACAAGGGGCTGGAGCAATGGCACAGTGGGTAGGGTGTTTGCCTTGCACTCAGCCAACCCGGTTTTGATTCCCATCCCATATGGTCCCCTGAGCACCGCCAGGGGTGATTCCTGAGTGCAGAGCCAGGAGTAACCCCCGTGCATTGCCAGGTGTGACCCAAAAAAGCAAAAAAAAAAAAAAAAAAAAAAAAAAAGTGGAAGGCAAAAGAAAAATTTTTAAAAATTTAAAAAATTAAAAAAATAAAGTAGAAGGCAACCAACCTTAGGGGGAAGTATATACAGATTTATATGTGTATGTATATATATATTATATATATAATATATATAAGCACACAAGGCTCAACCATTAACATATTACTAATCTCCTATAGAAGGGCTTAAATGCTCCTGGGTGAATTACAACAATCTTCACAGACTTTCCTCTAAGATACCTTTTTTTGGGATCATTTTTAGCAGATTATTCATAACAAGCAATACAAAATAAATTATTTCAGGGGGCTGGAGCAATAGCACAGTGGGTAGGGCATTTGCCTTGCATGCGGCCGACCCGGGTTCGATTCCCAGCATCCCATATGGTCCCCTGAGCACCACTAGGAGTAATTCCTGAGTGCAAAGCCAGGAGTAACCCCTGTGCATTGCCGGGTGTGACCCAAAAAGCAAAAAAAAAAAAATTCCAAAAACCAAAATAAATTATTTCAGTTATGCTTTGGGGGCAGGGTTTGGGGTTTGGTATGAAAACATCCAAAATATGGTGGTGGGATTGGAGTTTGAATATTAAATGTAATCAAAATTGTGTACAACTTTATAAAAAATAAATTAATGAAAGATAATAATCTATATTATTGAACTAAATGTGGCATTTGCATTAATATGCATACAGTAAGTCTCATAATAATGTAAAGCTAGATATTAGACAAGAATGACTGCACCCCATCTGACTGTCATTCTGATGGTTATAGCTGACACAATAAGGTGAGAACTAGGGGACTGAGGTAGACTGGGAGAGAAAAACTAAACCTCTCTCCACCGACAGATTACATGAGTATCTGCATAGAAAAATAATCACAGGAGCAAGAGCGATAATATAGCGGGCTGGGCATTTGCCTTGCATGTGGCTGACCTAGGTTCAACCCCCAGCATCCCATATAGTCCTCTGAGCACTTCCAGAAGCAATTCCTGAGTGCAAAGACACGTGTTACTCCTGAGCATCACCATGTGTGGTCCCAAAACAAAACAAAACAAATCACAAAATAATCTGAAAATATAATACAGATGAATCTAAGCTATTCAAATATAAATTTAGTAAGAGTATAGGATATAAGGGCAATAAAGGTAAAGTAAAGGTAAAGGCCCTCCCGTTGATCGTCGATTTGCTCGAGCGGGCCCAGTAACGTCTCCATTGGAGACTTTGTTGTTACTGTGTCTGGCATATCGAATACTCTCGGTAGCTTGCCGGGCTCTCCGAGAGGGGCGGAGGAATCGAACTCGGGTCGGCCATGTTGGCCGCTTGTAAGGCGAATGCCCTACCGCTGTGCTATCGCTCACAAAAGTTAATTGCTTTGCAATACTAGAAATGAAAAGTTGAAAACTAAAATTAGTAATGCCTGCACAGCAGAGCCTGGCAAGCTACCCGTGATGTATTTATTCAATATGCCAAAAACAGTAACAAGTCTCATGATGGAGACGTTACTGGGCCCGCTCGAGCAAATCGATGAACAACGGGAGGACCGTGACCGTGACCTGTACGTGCTCCAGGGCGACACCTGGGTTGGTGCTTAGGGTTTGGTCGTGAGGTGCCAGTGATCAAATGTGGGGCTGATGCAGAGCATCCACTCTGGCCTGAGCTGCCATCTTCTCACCTCTGGGGCTCACACTGTCCTTATGGCGAACACACTCTGATTGTCACCAGGGTCACTATGGTGCTCACACACACACTCAGCAGGTCATGCTTCCTGGTCATGGTACTTGCACATCTTTGTTTAAGCTGTGTTTTTTGTACCCCTTGGTTTTGGTGCTTGCACATACCCAGCTGCCATGTACTGCTCTCACCACCAGGGTTCAGGCAGCAGAGAAACCAGAATTGAGCTTGGCACATGTGCTGGCACTGGGGATTAGACTCATGAGCTGGCATTGGGGATTAGACTCATTAGACTTAAAAAAATTTTTTTTTCACTTTTTGGGTCACACCCAGCGTTGTTCAGGGGTTACTCCTGGCTCTGCACTCATAAATTACTCCTGGCGGTGCTTGGGGAACCATATGGGATGCCAGGTATTGAACCCAGGTTGGCCGTGTGCAAGGCAAATGCTCTACCCTCTGTTCTATCGCTCCAGCACTGCATATACTTTTAAGGCATGAATTCTAAATCACTGAACTCTTCCGCTAGCCCTAACCATTCTCTTTAGGGGTGTAAGTTTCTTCATATGTAAATATCCTCAAAGAAACTGTGTTGTCAGAGACTGACCCCAGTATCTTGTACATGCAAAGCATGTACTTTACTACTGAGCTACATTATCTGGCCCTACACAAAGAGTCTGTTAAAAGTTATTATTTTGTTTATTATGTGGAATTGACCGGGGGCATTGCTCAGGGGCTACTTCTGACTCTGTCCTCAGGGGGCATTCTTGGCAGGGTTTTGGGGGACTTTATGTCCAGTGATCAAACAGGGTTGATCTATTGCAAGATAAGTGCTTTATTTAATCCCCGTACTATTTCTCCAGACCAAATGTATAAAATTTCAAACTTCAGAATAATTTAAATAAAAAAATCAGGGCTTACCAGTTTGGTGCACAACCAACAGTGTCCTTATATTGCAGATGAAAGCAGCTCTTGAGATATGGATGACTGTCTCCTTCTTCCCACATGTACATGTGCAAAGAGTCATCCATGGCTGTGGTGAGCACATGGACAGAGTCCTTTAAAGGATACCCAGGAGTGAGTGGCCAAGTCAGAGGCAGAGCAATGAATAGTGAAAAGAAAGGCTCATACACACCGTCCATATGCAGCCAATGTTCTTCTGGTGATGCTCGAATTGTTGTACTTGGAGGCCATTGATGGTGAAAAGGAACAGGGAGGATCCGCTCTCAAAAGCAATTGTGCTCCCGTCACCAACTCCCATCCACATAGGAATCTCCATGTGAGCTGGCAGCCGGAAACTTGCGATCTGACTTGCTGAGTTCATGCAAAACACAGACACACATACATGCAAATTCTGGTTCATTCATCAGAATAATAGCCTTGCAATAAGTGGGGAAAAGACATTTCCTGGGCCTACCATGTGACTCAGTGGTAGAGGGTTGCAAATCTGCAGTCCCTGCCTTTTGGGATCCCTGAGGCCGGGACAAAGTGAGCAATCATCTCTGACTCACTGTAGCCAGGTGTACAAACCCCAAAACAGCAAAGGGAAGACAAGGAGAAAAATACTAATAGGTATGCTTAAAGAAAAGTACACTTGTGGAGGGATGGGTGTTGGAATACTGTATGACTGAAATTACAAAGCTGTTCATGATTGGTCATGAATGGCTTTGTAATGCTCTAATAAATAAATATTTTTAAAAATTTAAAAAAGAGAAAAGGACATACTTTCTAAGTCCATAGGACTCTGGTCCAGTGAAGAAAATAAATTGGTAAGCCATTGGACAAGGGAATGGGTGCTCTGACATAGAAACAGAGAGATGTGAGCAATTAATAGGAGCTCAGACTTTGAGGGGAGGCTCTGGTGGGAAGAAACCTGGAACTCAGATCCTAAAACACCATAGAAATCCTTCCCAGTCTGCCCTAGAAAGAACAGGGTGTGCAGAGGTCAGAGCGTGCAAGTCCAGAGACCTGGATTGGCTGTCAGCTACAGTGATCCTCGGCCTCCAGTACACACACCAGCCTGTTTATTAGATGCCTCACATGCTCATAGTGGATGCATGTGTGACAGGGGAAGAGAGCAGTGTGTTGGGGCTGGAGCGATAGCACAGTGGGCAGGGCGTTTGCCTTGCATGTGGCCAACCTGGGTTTGATCCCCAGCACCCCATATGGTCCCCTGAGCACTGCCAGGCATGATTTCTGAGCACAGAACTAGGAGTAACCCCTGATCACTGCCACGTGTAGGGGGAAAAAATTCAGTGTTCAAAATAGGGATCGCCTACCTGTAATGACTATTTTGCCTTCAGTCCTCTCAGCTGTTATGTCAAAGGTGATAAACCCTATTGCATTGACCGAGTCTTTTCGGAACATCACTATGATCCTGTTTGGTCTCCTTGGGGCCCAGGTGGCTTTGCAGCATGATGAATATGGGACTGAGAGAATTGCAGGAACCTGGTTTCTTGCTGGGTTCAGTAAGCACTCTGTCAAAAATATCTATGGAGAGATTATCACACATGATGTCAGGAGAAGGGGAGATAAATATATCTGAGTCACAAAGTGACTTGGAAAAACTACCCTAGAAAAAATTTCGTGTTGGATAGGCTTGAAAGATAGTAAAGGAGTTTTAGGCTCTTGGCTTGCATATGGCTAACTCCAGGGCCATGTCCCATAAGCACTGTCAGGAGTGATCCTGAGCACAGCTAGGTGTGATCCCCAAAACAAAATAAATTTCATGTTGGAGCCAGAGAGATGGTACAGGAAGTAAGACACTTGTATTGGGCTGTGGCAGCCATGACCGCCCCCTCCTCCCAATATTTGAATCCCTAGCATCACATATGGCTCTCCAAGCACCACCAAGTGTCACTGAGCACAGAGCCAGGAATAACCCCTGAGCGTCTCCTAATGTTGCCAACTAGCCCGTCCTCCCCCCACCAATCACATGTTGCAGGCCAAGCTTTATTTTGAATCTCAGGAAGTGTTGAGTAGTCTTTTCTGCCTGTCTCTCCTACAAAGAACTCCACCTTCCTACCCTGCCCCAGAGAAGGACAGGGTCCACGGAGCAGAATTCTCAAAGCCTCTCTGGCCTTCCCTGGGGGCTGCAATCATCTTGCCACCCTGGACCCCGACCAGGTGGCAGGTGAGTAAGATTGTCCTTCTCCGAAAACTAGACAAGGGATGCTGGGCTTTTCCTGCATCTGCTCTTAGTTCCCTGTTTTCTGATGCCTCAGCACATAGACCCTGCTAAAAATGGTTTGCTTTGGGACCAAAGGCCTTCTCAGAATGACATTTAGATCCTCTTGAATGTTTATTCGCTTCTGAACTTTTTGTACTTTCTAGTCAAAGAGGGATGAAAGCTAAAGAAGGGAAGGTAAAGTGAGCAAGGTTACCTAAGGTCCTCATTCCCTGGTCTCTCACCCTCTTCCATCCTCTTCCTGATTGAGGCCTTATGAAAAAATTTCTAAATGGTTTTGCATTAGTTTGTTGCCCAGAGAAGTATTTATTAACCCTTTCCTAGTCCTTTTATATTTTTTGTGCCATATCTGGTGATACTCAGGGGTTACTCCTGGCTCTTCACTCAGGAATTGCTCCTGGCTATGCTCAGGAAACCATTTAGGATGCCTGGAATTGAATCCAGGTTGGTTGTGTGCAAGGCAAGTTGTGTGCTGTACTATCACTCTGCTTTCCCACCCCAATCTCTTTCCTGATCTTCTGACCTTGTTTATTTCCTGTGGCTCTTCTATCCTATGGGTTGCCTCCCCAAGTCTTGTGCCATGGCCTAGAATTTGTGATTTTTACCTGTGAACCTCTCAGAATATCCTGAGGACCCATAGTTCCAATTGAGATACTCTGGCCTATAGGAAACGGTTCCACCTGAGACAGGGCCCTGGAGAGGAGAGAGCAATTTTTCTGGTCCTCACTAAACTCTTCAATTACTCAGCCTTCTGAGTGCTTAACCTCTTCTCCCACATGAAAACACACACAGAGCAACACCTACTGTTGGCAATGTGCCTTGTTGGGTTCCATCTGCAAACAGCCATTTCTTGTCAGAAGAGAAGTTCAGAAAATCAACACTATATTGAAATGCTTTTATTTTTGAAACTTCCTTTAACTCAGGCACAGTAAATGTGTAGATGTCACCACTAAGGCTGCCCACCTGAAACCAAATCATCATCACCATGTTACTGGAAAAAGTTGGAACATTGAAAGCACACAGAAATCAAGGGAAATCCAGGACACTGTTTCCCCAATCACACAGTGGTTCTTGTGAGCCTCTACCAATAGCTAATGGTAACAAAAGGTCAGAAACACCAAATGCTGACCAGCTCCACACATTAATTGTGAACTAGATTGGCCTCTATGAAAAACAGTTCAGAGATTCCTCCAAAAGTTAAACTTATAACAATCATATTATCTAGAAATTCCATTCCAAACAATCTCAAAGTCACTAATTCAAAATATATGCACATGTTTGTTCACTGCAGTGCTATCAGCAATAGTCAAGTTTTGAAATCAATCCAATAGTCAACTTTTGAAATCAATCCAAGTGTCCAACAATATATGGTTATATAAACAAATATGGCATATAGACCCAATGGAATTCTTATAGACCCAATGGAATTCTTATAGACCCAATGGAATTCTTATAGACCCAATGGAATTCTTATAGACCCAATGGAATTCTTATAAGCCATCCTGAAATATGAAATCTTGCCTTTTTTCTACAACATGAATGGAAATGGAGAGAGTCAAGATAAAGTGAAGCAAATCAGAGGAAGAAAGAAACGCTGGATGAACTCAGCCAGGTGTGAGGTATAAGAAACAAAACAAGAGCACAGGGAGAGCCCAGTGAAAAATCCTTTAGCTTGGACCCAAGAACTAAGGTAATCAAGGTGGGGAGGGAGTGGGAAGCATGTGTGTGGGGGACACAACTATGGAGGGTCTTGGCCCTTTGATGGTGGGTGAGAAGTGGTAACATTGTACTCCTAAAACATGCGAACATTTATTGTCTTGTAAGTCAATGTTACATTATCAAATAAATAAAACCTATGCCTTGCCTGCCTCAAAAAATTGTGGGGGCTGGTAAAAAAAATAAAATAAGCTTCTCATAGGATAATATTGCTTTGTCCTTTCTCCCTTTTTCCACGAGGAACTCAGATTTATTACAGTGCTCCTGAGGCACTTCCATTCCATTGTGTTTATCTGTAAATTCTTCCCTGTGCTCTCCTCCCCAACCTGTTAATCAGCTTTTCCCCTTAATCAGACTCTGTTAACTTGTAAGATTAGATTCCTCAGAAATCTATGATTTTATATGTATGAGTGAAATATTGCCTTTCTTCTCTCCTTATGTCTTTTGAATGTTTAATGCAATGTCCTTTTTGTATAGATACAGAAAGACAGTTAATATTATGCTTTTGTAACTTAGGATTTAATTGGCTTTGAATATTATTCACTCCCGGGCATCTGCTTTCTCGACTTAAGCCTCAGTTGCCCTTGGTTCCTAACACCCCAAAAGCAGAGTCCCGACGAGGGACTGAATGGACCCAGGGCAAGCGGTGAGCTACCCTGGCATCAAAATGGACCAGACCAAAGTGCCACGATTCTTAACTATAAGAGTTTGATCATAGACAAATGCTGTCATGATCCAAAAGTAACAAGGCTAGGACCCTGATAGGGGTAGGAAAGACTATCTGGCCTGAGCACTGTAGTCTGAGATCGAGATGACCCTAGGAGGGCAATTCTATAAGTTTAAGGTATTTTACTATATCCATACAAAATGATTTATATATGCTTATATGTTTGTTTGACAAGGAGAGAAGCACACCCAGGGGATTCCACCCTAGGGTGGATTGATCTGATGATGAGAATCTGTCCTAGGAGCATATTTCCCCGAGGGAAAGAATTCTATCCCTATTGATTGTGATCGCACCTATGTGTAATTGTTACCCCAACCCCTCATGCTTTGGGATTTTAACTAGACTGTAAGAGTGGGCTGAGTGATCAGAATCAGAATCAAGACTCCAGAAAAGGATGAAGGGGGATCGAGAAGGAGAATGAAGTAGCATGGGGGAGGAAGAAGCAGGAGGAGAATCAGAGGAGAATGGACATGGGAATGGAATAAACTGCAACTAAGACCAACCAGCCTGGCCCTCGTTTCTGCCCTTGCCTGCCCATCGCCATTGACCTCCCCAGGGTGGGGGAAGAGGCGTGAGACTACCAAACTCTGGTGGTGGGAAAGACAGAGCCGCCGCCGCTGCTGTGCCCTTTTTTGAGTTTACACAGCTTCTAATTCCCAAGCATTCTTCACAGGATACTTTCTTTACTCATTAGTTCATCAATACTATTTTTTTCCCCTCAACATCTCCCCAGAGACACATCTCTTCCTCCCACAGACCCTATCCAAGGCTGTAGACTGTACAGTATTTCTGTGAAATGTTCCTACGTGGAAGAGGAGACACATATAAAAATAATTCAGGAAAAGATTTGCTTTAAATAAGATTAGCTACTATTGTAGTATACAGAGGACCCATAGTTCCAGTTGAGATACTCTGGCCTATAGGAAATGGTTTCACCTGAGACAGGGCCCTGGAGAGGAGTGAGCAATTTTTCTGGTCCTCACTAAACTCTTCAATTTCTCAGAGAAGGCCGAAGGCCAGGAGGGAATGGGACATGTATGAGTAGCATTTGCTGGCATACTGCGGCTCTCAGGGAATGTGGAAAGGATGACCTCAGGCAGATAGGTGGTGATGCTAACAGGAATGGGACTCCTGCAGTTGTACAGGCAGCACATTTTGCATGGGGGACCCCTCCAGAAGCAAGGCTCACTTACCACCAGGAACGAGCGCTCCACAGTAGCACCAACATCCAAGGAAAAACAGCAATTGGGCAGTTTGAGAGTACCCAAATCCTCTTTGTCCCGACAATTCCACATTTTGATGATTCCCTCCATATTCACAGTGAATGCAAGATGCATATGAGGGAGAGTTACGATATTCAAGAACGGAGACCTTTGGACCGGGCTTGCCCAGATTATAACACCCTAGAGAACAGAAAGAACACTTGCTGCATCCAAGGGTTCTTCACACCTACTCTGTAATCATCCCACTAGTCTTTAGTTGGTCACCTTCAAATCTGATTCAGGTCCTGGGGAAAGAATAAGAAAATGCTCCCAACATCTCACTTTATTGAACAGTAGTAAGCAGGAAAAAAGAACTATGTGATATATGGGACTATGTGTTATATTCAAGGGTAGGAGAACACAAATGTGAATAAAGAATGATCAGAATAAAATCACGCAGTTCACTGCAACCTGTATGGAACTGGCACTTATCATGTTAAAGGAACTAACGAAAATTATTGGATGACCTCACTTACCTGTGGTAATACAGATACAGGACAAGGGAATGGAAAGTATACAATGATGGCCAACCCGTGGCCCTGAACTATTTAAATGAGAATGCTAATGAAGGAGGTAGAGGAGGAAGTGGACTATGATAACATAAGGGCATTGGTCAAGGGTCTTGGACATTTCAGCAATGTAGAGGTGAGGTAACTACATCACAACCCTAAGAGTCAACACTATTGTAAGCTCATGACCTAAACTAAGTAAATTTTAATTTAAAATCTTTTGCTTGCGTTTGAACCATATCCACAATGCTTAGGGGTCACTCCTGGAGCTGCTTGGATGACCCTATGGGACACCAGGGATTTAAACTTGGGTCAGCTGTGTGCAAGCCAAGTGCACTCCCCACTGTACTTTCTATCTGGCCCCCGAAGTAAATATTAAAAAGTGAGTTTGCTAAAAGAGGTGGGGTGGGAGAAGGGTCATAGGTGGAGGGGTGTTGGTGTTAGGTTTGGAGGTGAAACACTGAATACTTGAAACATAACAAGTGTTTTTGTAAATCATGGTGAATTTAAAAAAAAATAAATGTTAATAAAAAATTAGATTGTTTTTGCGCAAATCAGCTTTCTTCTTTCTAACAGTCTTTGACAAGTTACTTCTGTAACTTCTGTAAGGACTATATTACTTCACAACACACGAAACAAAACTCAATTCTGCCTCCTACAGGGCTTTAGAGCATAAGAACTATCTTGAGAATTGTTATTCCATCATTGACTATTTACATAAAAAAGCTCCCCTGTGAACTTTTCTTTAGATTTTTAAAACTTAAGTATGTCATATGAAGGACAAACAACAGATAAATGCAAATTTTGATAAACTATGAAATGATCATTATAACTTTTTTGGGGGTGATGGGGACCAAACCTCGGCTTGCCACCTGCAAAGCAAGTTCTCTGCCCGCTGTTCTATCTCCAGGCCCTGTAAATAGTTCTAGACTTTAGCAACCCCCCTGCATTCTTTTTATTAACCTTGCCTCCCTCCCCAAAAGCAATGACTGTTTTGAGGCTTGAATCTGGACTCCTGCATGCAAGCATGCATTCAATCCCTTTTGAGCCATCTCCTAGGCTAGTGATAATTTTTCTCGTTCTTATAAGTATGAGACCTTGCCAGTACAATTGCTGTGTGGTAAATCATAGCAAAATTGGGTGACTTAAAACAGTAAGTTTGTTCTTTGATAGTTTTAGATCGAAGTTCAGGAACAGCTGGGCCCAGGGACTCAGGGCTAACACCAGCTCCCACTTTCAGGATGTCTTGCTCTACAGCTGCCAAGGGGGAGCTGGCTACTGTCAGGGTCCTCAGTATCCATTCCCCCTGGCCATTCAAAAACTTCTCACAACATCATAACTAGATTTCTAAGAGCCAATGACTCTAGAGAGAGGAAGTATCTTTTAGGCCAGAACTTCAGAAGTTATGCACCATCACTTGCACAATAGCCTATTACTTACAAAGGGTCTGCTTGGTATGGAAATAGCCTGCAGAAGATGAACACTATAAAAACAGGAATATTGAAGATCATCTTATATGCTGACTGCAGTTCATCTTGTAGCTACAAATGATCCATCTGTCTCCTACCTGTAAAACACATTCAGCACCTCCTCTTGTCCCTGAATGATTATGCCATCATTTCAGAGTCTAGATTCTCACTGTTTAATTAGGTCCAGATACAAGGAGGCTTTTTATATTCATCTTGTTTTGTTTTTGTTTTTTGGGCCTGTGGTGCTGGGGATTGAAGCTGGGTCAGTCTTAAGCAGTGCCAAGTGCCCTACTCCCTGATCTCTCTCTCTCTCTGGCCTTGACATTCAGTTCATTTTTAATGTGAAAAACCTTAGAACTGTTTTAGTTGTCTGTCTCCCACATTTTCAAAATATAAGTGAAGGGAAGGCGATGGATGGCATGAACCCTCTCATTCAAGGAAAAGGGGGATAGGCCAGAGAGATAGTGCAGTGGGTAAGGCGCTTGCCTTGCGCGCTGACCCAACTTTGATCTCTGATATCTCATGATTCCCCCTAGCACTGCCAGAAATGATCCCTGAGTGCAGATGGGAGTAAACTTTGAGCACTGCTGGGTGTGACAACCCCCCCAAAAAAAGAAAAAAAAGAAAAAGGGGGGAGTGGAAAATAGGGTGGAAGAACTAGGAAGCATCGAGGGCTGACAGCTATGTAGAAAACTTGAAATTAGAGAACAACATGCACAAGTCTTGAAGAATGAGCTCCTGGGGCCACGCTAGGTTGCTGCTTCACATACAGAAGAGGTTCTAGTGCTTTCTAGAACTGACTGATCAGTTCTCTGAGGCCTCTTAGCTTTTGCTGGGGCCCAAGGATTTTTGTAGCCATCACTTTAAAGTATGGTTATCTACATTGCCCTGGCTAAATCTTTTTTGGTGTCCTATTTCTTAAATTATAGCATCATTTGAAATCTTTAAAAAAAAACTGGGAATAAAAATTAAATAAAAGATTGGGAATTTTCAGGGGGCCAGAGATATAATGCAGTGGGTCAGGCTCTTGTTTTGCATGTGACTGACCCAGGTTCTATCCCTGGCACTCAATACAGTCCCCTGAGCTGGCCAGGAGTGAACCATGAGCACAAAGCCAGGAGTAAGCCCTGAGTACAGATGGATGTGCCCTCAAAACGAAACAAAACATAAAAGACTGGGAATTTTTAGAACCAAAACTGTTTGGCTCCCTCTCCCCCAATTGTTTGTTTTTATAATTCTAACTTGCTTCTGACTAGAATCATCAAAAAGCAGTCAACAAGCCAATATTCAGTATTTTGCCTGAAAATATCCTTAGCAAGATTATTCAGTTAATTTTATGTTTTATAATTTTCGTTTCCCACAGGTGGCTGTAATGCTAAACTTCCTGCCACTGTGTGAAAAGGATTCCCCTTCCTCTAGCACCCAGTAACATTTCCCCACTTTAAGTCCTCATTGATTCACGTTGGGCCCCTTAGGCTTTTGCTAACAATCTCTTCACAATCCAACACCCTGCCCACTACCTGGTTTTCAAACTTCTTTCACATTTAAGGTTTTGTTTTTGTTTGAGGGCCAAACTCAGTGGCACCAGGACCACATGGGTCTGGAGCTCAAACCCCAGCATCCGCATGCAAAGCATGAACCCAACCCTTTGAGTTCTCTCCCTGACACTGCATTCTAGATTTATGGCAGCATCCCACTTCCAGATAATTAATAATGAATTTATTGTGGGGCTGGAGCGATAGCACAGCAGTAGGGCATTTGCCTCTCATGCAGCCGGTCTGGAGACAGGTTTGAATCCTCTACCCCTTTGGGAGAGCTCGGCAAGATACCAAGAGTATCTTGCCTGCATGGCAAAGCCTGGCAAGCTACCCTTGAAGTATTCAATATGCCAAACACAGTAACAAGTCTCACGATGGAGACATTACTGGGCCTGCTCCAGCAAATCGATAAACAATGGGAGGATCGTGACCGAATTATTGTGTTATCAAAAATGGATTAGAAAATCAGAGCAATAAGGACTCATTCCATACAGCATTTTGTTAGTCAAAAACTCAGAACTGGATTCACTGTGTCACTCTAATTTGGTTGCTGTAAGATACAGGCTGGGATGCAGTAACCTATAGGCTTGTCTGGGGCTGGAGGATCCATTTTTAAGATGGCTCACACATATGACTGCAAGTTGGTGTTGGCTGTTGGCAAAAAAGTCTGGTTTCCCTGCCATGGGACCCATCTGGGTGGGAAAACTGCTTTTCCCTAGAGCAAGAACTTAACTTTTCTAACCCCGCCTCATCCCTGCAATTTACTGTTACTGATATACAAGAGGGTCAATTTAAGGTAAGAGCAGGAGTGGGAGCGGGAGCAATAGTACAGCAGGTAGGATATTTTCCTTGCAAGCAGCCAACCTGGGTTTGATCCCCAGAATTCCATATGGTCCCCTGAGCACTACCAGGAGTGATTCCTGAGTGCAGAGCCAGGAGTAACACCTCTGCATTGCCGGGTGTGACCCAAAAAACAAAAGCAAAAAATTAAGGTGAGAGCACACTTCCAGAACTTCATCTCATTCATTTCATACTACCTCATATTCATATAACAGTATCTACCATCTTTTTGAAGTAGTAGAGAGGCATTATCTAATATTAATGGGAAAGAGTAAAACTACAAACAGGAAAAAGATTCTTTATTTTAGCCACACCCAGCTGTTCTAAGAGCTTACGCCTGGTTCTGTGCTCAGGTGTCACTCCTGGTGAAGCATGATGAACCATATGGAGTTTTGGGGATTGAACTTGGGTTGGATGCATGCAAAACAAGCACTCTGCCTGTTGTACTATCTCTCCGACTCCAGGGAAAAAAAATAAGTACTGTTATCTGAGGGCCTGGGAAAGGCTCAGCATCAAAGTGTTGCTCTGCCAGCAACAGGCTTCAAGTTTGGCTTTTTTATTTTTTGCAGGGGCAGAGGGAGGGGCACACTCAGCATGCTCAGGAATTATTCATGGCAGACTTGGGGGACCATATGGGATGCTTGGAATTAAACCTGGGTTAACCGTGTGCAAGGCAAATACCCTACGCACTGTACTATGCTGTAGTTTTGGCCCAAGGCCACAAGTTTGATCCCTAGAACTACCCATGTGAACAGATACCGGTTTGGAGAGCTGTGTGGCAACAAAGCCTGTGCTCACTCTCCAGAGCACCACAGCTAATGTGTGTGTAAGCACCACGAGGTAGAGTATAAAAATAAAGAATAATCCAAGATCCTCACTAAGGTCTTCTATTTCCCTATCTGGTGCTTCTTGCTCTGCATGTACTAGTCCTGATTGTGGGTTCCTGAGAGGTGGCCTCAAGTAGAGAGCACTTCCCTAGGATAAAACCCGTTCTGACAGACGCAGAACAGGCAACGAAGAGGCACAGTGCCCAAAGATCATGTCCCCGATAGAAGATTGTTCCTTAGATAAATTTAGACAGTCAACCAAAAGTGAACCTGTGCACCTTTTGATCCTCAGCACCACCTGGTAACCAAGTACCACTGCAGGGCACGGCACCCCTAAGAAAACTTTAGGGGTCTGTGAGATAATACCAGGTGAAGGTGCTTGCCCCTTGCCTGCAGCTGACACTGGTTCTATCCCAGCCACTGCATATGGTCCTCTGAGCATCATCAGGGGGCAGGGAGAGTCCCTGAGCACCACTAAACCCCTCAATAAAGTGAACCTGCATATCTAGAGTCTAAACGAGGACACAGATGAACAGCTGGAGGCCCTGCTTTGTCAGCATTCCAGTAAGATTTTCCTCCCAGCGCTTGCTCCGTTCTGGAGGGACACAGATGTGCATTATGTGGGCCAGGCACGGCCAGACTCACCTCCTGCACGTCCCAGGCAAGCAGTCTCTGGTTGGATGACACGGCGCACAAAATTGACTTTTCCTGTTCATCCATTGTGTGGCCATTGCCTGAGAGGTAAGCCATAGGTCCTATGACTCCTAGAAAGAAATAGACTATGTAAAGAATGTATGGCACAGGCAGCAGAGGGAGGAGCCAACAGAAGAGAGGCCTTAGAAGATAATGTCAAGTTTTCCTGCACATTCTTAAGAGGGTTTGTGTATCAATTACCTACAAGAGTATCAGAGTTTTTTGAAAATTGGGCTTCAAAGTCATCCAACATGGGCTCCCATTGCTGATCTGGGAGATAATGACCAACTTCTGTTTTCACTTTAATCTTAGTGTTGTAGATATAAAATGGGAATCTAAAAAATAAATCTCTTCATAATTTTTTAAAATACTAGGGAACAAACCCAGGGCCTCACACATGCAAGGAATGTGCCTATGGCTAATTTATACCTTACCCACCTCCAGAGTGAAGGGAACTATTTTGAGCTATAAGGAAGTATCAGGAACTAAGCAAGTAGGAGAACCTATTATTTTATTATTTTTTTTAAAAGAGGAACATTTTTGTTTATTTATCTTTGGCTTTTTTGGGTCACACCTGGTAATGCTCAGGGGTTACTCCTGGCTCTGCACTCAGGAAATTACTCCTGGAGGTCCTGGGGGTACCATATTGGAGGCCAGGGATTGAACCTGGGTCTGCCTCATGCAAGGCAGGCTCCCTACCTGCTGTACTATCGCTCTGGCCCTCAGAACCTGTTATTTTAAAAGTTTCCCTTTGGGGAGCAGGAGATCGTATAGCAGGTAGGGCCCCTGCCTTGCACATGGCCAACTCTGGTTCAATCCCTGGTACTGCCTTGGTTCCCCTGAGCACCACTAAGAGTGATTCCTGAGCACAGAGCCAAAGTAAGCCTTGTGCCGGATGTGCCCTCAAGTACTGCTGTCATTTTCACAACCCCACAATCAGGGACACGATGGTGTCACAACCCACAAATTAAGCAGCTTTGCCCTAGGGGTCCCAGTCGTCATACCGATTTTGCCCCTTTTTACTTTGAGGTTAAAGTCCTGTGGCTGTGCCAAGGCCATCTGGCGCTCCTGTCTCGTTAGGCAGAGAAAAAAGTTCTTCCATGTCTGTGTGCCCTGAAGCTGAGTGAAACTGCAGAAGCTCCATTTTTTCAGACACAGTTTTCTGGAAACAAGGTCACAATCCCATCAGTTCCAACATCCCTGTCCCAATTGCCCACCACTGACCTTCACCTCTCACTCCTGCCCTGCATGACATGAGACCTCCTCTGCCTGGGCAACCTGGTCTCCCCACCCAGCCCTTCCCTTGCTCACCTCCACAGGGATTCAGTCTCTGCAACTTTCTTCCAGGACTGGGGGAGAGAGAAGAAAGATACAATCAAGATCTACAGTACCCAAATGCTGACAATGCTATCTCCCCTACTACTAGCATTTGTGCTGGACCAAGGCCCACCTGTTAGGAGCTACATTCTAATTCTCAAAGCCTCGCAGTGTTAAAAATGGCTGGGAGATGCATGGCCCGGTTGCTGCTGCTAAAAGTTCTTGGAATTCCTGGAGGATTTCCAGAAAAAGACAATTTCTGAGAGCTTGAAACCGGAGCTTCTGGGACCATTAAGTCTATACAATACACCTGTAGCAGCTAGACATTTTGTTGTTTTGTACCAGACTCTGTAGTGCTCAGAAGTCTGTTCTGGCAGTGCCAGGGTTTGAAGCTAAGTGAGCCACGTTCAAGGCAAGAGCCTTCTACACTGTATTAGTTCCCTGGTGTGACTTCACCATGCGGAGGTGCACGGTGATTGTGTTTGGTGGTCGAGAGCCACCTTGCCATCCTCCCCAGGCCTCCACAGCAATGAAACAAAGAGATGGGGGACTCACGGATAGACAGTAAAAATGGCCCATTTAATGCAGAGCTGCTAGCATACTTTTAGAACATCTGAAGGGGTTTGAGGTATAGGAGTGCACATAGGTGTGACTGATCATTTACAGAGGTAAAGCATTTTGGCGGAGGCAATTCTCTGGAGAGGATTAACCCAAGGAGGCACTCAGTCTCCCAGGAACATCTATATTGCTCTTCTCTTTCTCTTAAGTTGTATATATTAAACAATTTACTTATTAATATTACAGCTATTTGGATAAACACAGTAAGAGATACAGATTCCAAAACTTAGTTCTCTGGGCTCTGAGAGCAAGAAAGATTTTTACCATTAATACCAGACTAAGTCTTCAGGCCAGTTCATCTTGCCCTTCCCTATGGAGGTCCTGTCTCTTAAGTCATAACAGCTTTCACCAAGACCATGCTTTTATGCTTTCTAGACTGTCCCATTTCAGTTCCTGGGTAGCTTCACCAATCGCCTCAGGTCCATCCCAGTACCACAGTGGGACCTCTCTTTGTGGGGTGTTAAGAACTATAGCAACTGAAGCCTGAGTCAAGTAATTATGATTGAGTAGATATATTTTAGAGTCAATCAACTCCCAAATATTAGGAACATAACATGGTCTTTCTGTGTAAGCAAAGAACATTGCTCTATAGTAAAATATGAAAAGGGTATAGGGGAAATAGAAATTCAGGTAATTCTATTCACTATAAACACTGTCCAGAGTCACCTAAGTTTTGGGCTTATAGAAAACCAAGTCTGACTTGGTGAATTGTGACAAGAGGTAAAATTAAAGATAAACTCAGGGGATTAAGGTTGCTCACAAGAGCTTGGTAAGCTTCTCTGGGGGGAGGAAAAGGGACAATTCAGGAAAATTTAGGGTTAATATCCAACACCATTGCCCCTCGTAATTTTCATTTAACAAACTAGGAGGCCCTCAGGATGAATGATATTAACCTTAAATGCCCAGTATATTGGTATGTTATTCTGAAAATTGCTGCTCAAATGGGTCAGGTGAAGCAATTGAGTACCAGGGATGCAAGTATATTGGAGGGCAGGTCAAATTTAGGCAGATCTAGAAACATTTAAGGAATGAAGGCATGCCGACAGGATAGGGCTGGGGTGGCAAAGACATCAAGGCCATAGGAGCAAGGTGAAAGTGACTTGAGCAAGAAACAGGAGGAAAGGGATGGAGACAAAGATGGTCAGCACAGAGTGACAGTGAACAACTTTTACCTTGTTCACTTTGGAAACCTGTAGCAAGCTGAATACATCCAGAAAGGAGAAGATTCTCAACAACGGCACCTCAGGCAACTGGATCTCCATGTTACACAGCCTGAATCCAACTCCGGTCTACTTTTTCCTCAGTAGATGGCCCTGATTTAAAAGCCTGGGCCAAATTTGCAGCACTTGGGAGGCCTTCCCCTCACCGGTCCTCATTTTGAGGGAAATAACTTCAGGTGAGCCTGCTCATCTTGTGGGGCTCTCACAGGACCTGATGTGCACAGCTGAGGGCATCCCCTTAAATGCAGTTAGCATTCATTGTCTATTCTGCCTTTCTTAGCTGTGGGACCATTGGCCCTCTGTGAGTCCACAGGATGTTTGAAGTGGGCCATAGGCAAAAAATCAAATAACTGGAATTCACACCATGAGACTAGGGACTCAAAAGGTAGGAGAGTGGGACCACAGGAAGGGAACAAATTTGGAAGGGGACCATGGTTGAAAAAAGGGCAGAGAAATACAGGTTCATGTGCCTTTATCTATACTTTCTTCACATTGAAGATGTAGGAACCGGCAGAGCTCAGTTGCTGATGAACTTGGCAGAACTCTTTAATAAATTTCCACTAACATCTTCATGTCTCCTCAAGTCTCTGTGTGGCATCATGAGTTCCCCATCACAGGGTGAGAATCTGCTGACTGAGGGGACACAGCAGGACTGTCTCCCAGTTCAGCACAGCTGCTATGCTCCCAAGTCCCACTGTGAACTGTGCACCCAGCTTTCTGGTGGGAGGGGAAGTCTGAGCCCAACTTCCCTACAGGCTGGGCTGAGCACACAGGCCTTGTCTGAGGAGGTTCAGACCCTAACTTCCTTTCTCTTCTAATAGATGTTTTTCTGCCAAAAACCTGCTGGCCCATCCCATGTTTCCCTATGGGGAGACCCCCTGAGGCTCAGCAGTGACCCTTTTTTCCTTAAACTGATGTCATTAGGCTAACTCCATCTCACAAAGAGGGTCTAGAAAATTCTATGGGTGATTTGACAAAAATATCCGGGGCGGGGGGGGGGCCAGGACAAACACAAAAACTTTTCCTCTTTTCACTTCTAAAATTATATAAGGATATCAACACAACAACATTTGCCCTCAGTTTTGGGATTCTTCAAAACCCTGGTTCACTGAGGTAACTGTAATCACAACTTCCCCAAGACCTCCTTTACGCATAATTCAGGAGATCCTTAAATGTGCTTACATTAATTTATCTTTCAATGGTTTGGGACAAAATCAAAGGTTACCATTTTTATTACAGAAATTGAATTTAGGACCCTGACCACCACCTCCCCACACACACCCACACACAGAGGCAAAGGCAGTGCTCTGCCACTGAACTACATCCCTGGCCCAAATATGACCTCTTTGTCAAAATTACATTGGTACATGAGGGAAAGTCTGTATTTTCACATTGCTCTTGGCACTCTATTTAATACTTTTGTTTATTGCTATATTTAACTGTTTATGTAATAAATTCCTGGGTTTGTGAGGACTATAAAGAATTACCCATTCAGGGACATTTTTACCTCTATAAGGACCATAATTCTCTCTGGAGAGTGGGATTAGGCTCTCTCCACTGATATAAAATGTCTGAGGACATCAACTTCCCATCATTCTGGACATCACTGGAAAGTTTCTCTTCAAGGTAATTTTGACAGTCTCCTGGGCGTTTTCCTTACCCAGTAGTAACTGTCTACAATAATGAATACCCTGGACAAATCCTTTCAGAGAATTAGCACGCTGTCCCCTTGGAGCCACTGTGACTGACTGCTGCTAGAGGTGACAGGAGAGTCACAGCTCTGGAGGGCAAATGAGGTCAGAGGTCTCCAAAATTAGAAGCCAGAGGTAGCTGCTCCTTCCTGACACAGTGACTGCCACCCGCAGCCACGATCCCAGCAGACGAGGCCACTCAGCAAACACCGTGAGTCTTCCTACATTTCAGGTGCGAGGAAATGGTTGAAGAGACACTGAGGGGCCTCTCCCTGTGGGAGGGGAGAGCTGTGTCCTGCTGATAGGAGAGAAGCGATCTCGGCTCTTCCTCTTTCCATCAACCTCAGATACCTCTTTGTTTTCCAGGGAAAGAGCGGTCTGAGTTCATCTACCTCCTCTCTTTGACAATGTATGTACTCCTATGATTTTCATCTGCAAAAAAATTAAGATTCTAAACCACATCTCAAGATTTTAAATTGTTTAAAATAGTTCAGTGAGTTACAGCAATGATCACATGGATTTTTCTTATTATATAATGGTATACCCACTTCTCTGTTCTCAGGCTGGTTGAACCTGGATGTTCTGTTTTGGGTTTCATGGGGCAGTGTATGTGGAAGGATTTGGGCAGCACCCAGCAGTGCTCTGGCTTATGCCTGGTTCTGTGCTCAGGTCTCACTCCTGGTGGTGCTGGAGGGACCATATGTAGTTCCAAGATTGAATTGAGTCGACAGTGTGCAAGGCAAATGCCTCATCCTGTGTACTGTCACTCCTGACCATCTTAAAAGTACAAGAGGCAGGAGCAATAGTATAGCTGGTAGGGCACTTATACATGACTGACCCGGATTTGATGCCAGGAGCCCATACGGTCTCCAGAGAACTGCCAGGAATGATCTCTGAGCCCAGAGCCAAGAGTCTTCCCCGAGTGCTACCAGGTATGGCAAAAACTTAATTAAAAAATTAAGAACAAATAAATAAAATAACAGAATCCATTTGGCTGCCTGTCAATAGGCTCATTACATTATCTGTGTGTTCTTTAGTTAAGTATTTGTGGGCCTGAAATAGAATCAGTCACTGTTAAGTGTAAACATCTTGAACACATAAAATCCCGAGTAGGAAGTATTTAGATAAGAAAGAATAGAGACCATGACCAGTTTTTCCTGAGCCCCTCATGTTTGGTCTTATTATCATTATCCTTAACTCTAAGGGATCCTAAAGCTACTGCAACTCAGCCTTCACTGAGTGTTCCCATCATAGGGGCCTGTGCTGTCCTGCTTGCACAGAAATTTGTCAGTCTAAGAGATATAACAAACATATAGATTTTAGGGAAATTATCTTCACAATTTTCTGTCAAGTCCAAGGACTATACTGACAATAATCAATTAATTCAGGATTCGTCTGGGTTAGTATATTTATATTGCATTGTACTTTTTCTCTGAAACAATCTACTATCACTTCAACTTTCAACATCTGTTGCTTTACCTTATCTGTTGATTTACTGTTTTAAAAATGTATATGCTTTATACTTACACACGTTTCTTTCACCAAGCTTGTTTCTGAAAATTATGCTTATACACAAGTCTGATTCATTTAATCATTATTCTCTAATATGTTTATCTTCAATTCCCCTATTTCAGATTTCTGCCTATTCTTTTATTGCTTATTTTTCTTCAACTTTTTTTCACTTATTTTTTTGGGGACACATCAGTGCTTCTCAGAAACACTCCTCGCTCTGTGCTCAAGGATCTCCCATAGTGGTGCTCAGAGAACTATATATGATACATGAGATTGAACTGGGGTCAGCTGTGTGCAAGGCAAGGGTCTTAACTTTTTACACTCTCTCCAGCCCTGAAATTGACTTATCAAAAAATCATTTTATTTTATTTTATTATTATTATTTTTGCTTTTTTGGGTTGGAGCGATAGCACAGCGGGTAGGGCTTTTGTATTGCACACAGCTGAACCAGTTTCGATTCCTCCGCCCCTCTCGGAGAACCTAGCAAGCTACCGAGAGTATCTCACCCACATGGCAAAGCCTGGCAAGCTCTCCGTGATGTATTCGATATGCCAAAAACAGTAACAAAAAGTCTCACAACGGAGACGTTACTGGTGCTCACTTGAGCAAATCGATGAACAACAGGAGGACAGTGCTACAGTGATTTTTGGGTCACACCTGGCAATGCACAGGGGTTACTTCCGGCTCTGCACTCAGTAATTATTCCTGGCAGTGCTCAGGGGACCTTATGGGATGCTAGGACTCAAACCCGGGTTGGCCGCGTGCAAGGCAAATGCCCTACCCACTGTGCTATGGCTCCAGCCCCCGCCCCCCGCAACAATTTTAGCATTCTAAATTTTTCTGTGTTACCATCTATAAAAATGTGGTATATTTCAGTACCAATATTGCAAGCCACAATGCCTAAAAAAGGAGAGAGAGAGAGAGAGAGAGAGAGAGAGAGAGAGAGAGAGAAGACAAGCAGCTGTCATAGAGGTAGGCAGGGGTGGAGGGTGGGGGGTAATGAGAAGAACCTGGGGACTTCGGTGCTGGGAAATGTACACAGGTGGAGGGATAGGTGTTGGAATACTGTATGACTAAAATTAAATCATGAACAACTTTGTAATGGTTTATCTCAAAGTGATTCAACAAAAAGTTTTTTTAAAATGTGGTATTTTACACATATTTTTTCCAAATAAGGAATTTGCTGATTATGTTGAAAGGATTAAAATCTTTCTATTACTGAATTTTGATGACATTTTCTCAGATGTTTTTTCTTCTTTATTTCTCTGCATCTCTTTTACTCAAAGTGCAGCTGATTCAGGAGCAAACATCACTATTCTTATATAATAAAGGGGGAAAATTCAGAAATTCAAACAACCTTTCTTTGATAAAAACTTACTGATAAATATTTTCCTTCCTTGTTATTTTTAATGTTTATATTTTCTATTTCTCCATCAATTTCTTCATTATGTAGATGAATTAATAAGGAAATTTTAACATTTACTACAGCGGTAGGGCGTTTGCCTTGCACGCAGCCAACATGGCCGACCCGAGTTCGATTCCTCCGCCCCTCTCGGAGAGCCCGGCAAGCTACCGAGAGTATCTTGCCCGCATGGCAGAGCCTGGCAAGCTCCCCGCGTCGTATTCGATATGCCAAACACAGTAACAACAAAGTCTCCAATGGAGACGTTACTGGGCCCGCTCGAGCAAATTGATGAACAACAGGAGGACAGTGACAGTGACAGTGATGCTAAGTTTAGGAGGTCAGCGGTTGGGTGATTCAGAAAGTACTTTATGATAAAATCACTTACTTACGGAGCAAAGTCAGAAAGACTGACTGAGAACTGATCTCCGAAGAGG